CAGACACCTGTCCTGCGCCCTGCAGCGTCCACCCTGCTCCCCGTGCATGCTCATTCTGGGGTCCTGCTCCCTCCAAAGTGCAGTCGTGACACCGGCGTCTTCGGAAGGTTCTCCGAAAGTTGGCGGTGTGTGACGGCAACATCGAAAAGCGTCACAAGGGAATATGCCCTTCCACGTGTTGTCCCCCAATGGACATTGCCGTGACGACGCTTCCTTGTTCCAAGGGTCCGTGTTGCCCTTTGTTCTTAAATGTAGCCGGATGAGCTGTCCTGTTGCAATCTGCTCGAAAGCCCGCACGTGCCCCAGACCGCCACCCACCCCCTTCCAGCAGAAGATGCGCATTGGTGCGGTCACGGTCCTCATGCAACTCTGGGTCTCCAGCAGGGGTCTGCGTCTGGGGCTGGGGGGTGGGGACAGGGCGACTGACGGTGGGATTCCTCGCACGCCCACCGGGACCCGTTCTTCCGTGACCTGCAGTTGAAGGCGCGTGGCGTGTTTGCTCGAGACGGTATTCTCGCCCCGAGCGATGCACTTTGTACAAAGTCTCAAGCTCTGTGAACGGTCTGGGATGTGCTTCGCTCGGGGCCGCTAAGCGACGTCGTCGAGAAATAAACGCCTTTTGCCAGTGAATCTGTGTTTGCCAGTCTTGAATCCCGTCAACTTGTGCTGTGTATCTCGGTGAGGGGACGGTTGGCGGCCATGGTCGTGTCCGCTCTGATGCCCATTTGGCACATTCCCAAAGAGAAATTTTGGGGAAGAAAATTTTTTTTAATTGACCGAGAATAAGAAAACCCGAAATCAAGCCAACGGGACCCCGCGAGGCCCCCTTAGCCTTCGATTCCTTATGGACGGAGCTGCCTTGGGTGGGTCTGCGTCTCCGTCCCTCCAGGTGCTGCTGATCTGGGCGGGTGGGGAGGAGGTGGGGGGCTGACTCCGCTTGGCGGTGACATGAGGGGGCCTTCTCTGTGTTCACCCCCTTGGGGCATCTTTTGTGTTTTCTTTCAGCCGACCAAGGTGAGCCCAGCTCCAAGAACCAACAGAGCACCAGCGCCGACCAGCCAGGTGGGTTGTGGGCCCTTGGGACGGATGTCTTCCCGCGGCGCGGGGCGTTGCAAGAGATCCTTCGCGTCCCCTTCCTTCCCACGGCCCGAGTTCCGGGGCCGGGGTACAAACCCTCCGGGGCTTGAGGCACAACTCTGTGTCACGTTCTTGTGGTTCCTTGTGCAACATCCTCTAGGAGAAAATGCCTTCTATTTTTTTTCCCTACTTTTCCTGGAATATGTATTTTTTTTTCAACAAAAAAAGTCTTCTATATTTTTTTTCCTATTTTTCCTGGAGTATGTATTTTTTTTTTTCTAGGAGAAAATGCCTCTCATTTTTTTTTTCCTACTTTTCTTGGAGTATGCATTGTTTTTCTAGGAAAAAAATGCCTTCTATATTTTTTTTCTACTTTTCCCGAAATATTTTTTTTTTTCTAAGAGAAAATGCCTTCTCCTATTTTTTTTCCTACTTTTCTTGGAATGTGTACTTTTTTTCTAGGAAAAAATGCCTTCTATATTTTTTTTTCTATTTTTCTTGGAGTATTTTTTTTTAAGGAGAAAATGCCTTCTCCTGTTTTTTTTCCTGCTTTTCCTGGAGTACGTGGTTTTTTTCTAGGAAAAAATGCCTTCTATATTTTTTTTCCTATTTTTTGTGGAGTGTGTTTTTTTTATTTTTCCTAGGAGAAAATGCCTCCTCCTATTTCTACTTTTTCTGGAGTACATATTTTTTTTTCCTAGCTAGAGTTGACTGGACTCTAAAATGTGTTGAATTCTTTTCCCCCAGCAGGTTAGAGTCGGGTTTTGTTTGCTGTGAGCGATGCGTTTTGCGCTCATTTATCTTCTATAGCAAGGGAGTCACCCGCGTCTGAAACGTTTAAGAAGCAGTCGGTGATGTGCGGGTTGTGGGGGGAGCTGGGGATGCCTTGTGAAGTCTTTCCTTGTCTGTTTGTCCTTGGCAGTTCAGTGGAGTCTTCTGGAAAAGTAGAAGCTTGACTGCAAACGCAAATCCTCGACGTTCCCAGCAGGAGAACAAGACTCCCCTGCTGCATCTTCCCAAGAAACACGTGCACCAGGGTAGCAGTGGCCACGGCGGAATCCAGCCCCGTCCTGCCCACGCCTGTGCTCACGTTGAGACTCTTTGTTTTGACCTTGAGATGCGTTGTGCCCATTTGCAGCATGCTGGGTAGACGAGGGATACTAACGCCGAGTGTTCCACCCCGAGAGGGGAGTTTTGCTCACCCTGTCCGTGGCCGTTAAGGGTTTCCCCGTGGGGTGTGAAAGGCCGATTGTGCATCACAAAGTCATTCCAATACCGACCCCACTGAAGCTCCTCCACCCGGAACTCTGGGCCGTTTACCAGTTAACAGAACTGTCCCTGGCATTGACCCTCGGATATGGTGAGATAAGCGTTTCATTAGTGTCCTCAAAATGTCCTTCATTGGGTAGGATTTTTTTTTCACACCAGACTAATAAAAAAGAAATTAGAAACCAAGTACTTTTTACTTAAATATCTTATCATGGGCTGACGTTTAAAGAAGGCTGTGGAAACCAGTGGAATGGACCCCGTGGTCCCTTTTCTGGGGCTGCAGGACAAACAGTCAACCCATGTGTACCCCCTGCATTTTCGGGATTTTCTTTCTCTGCCTACTTCCCTCCACTGGTCTTAGTACATTGGGGACAAGGACTTCTCAGCATTCAGATACTCCCCTGCATTGCATATTTCTCTGCATGCAGATACTCCACTGAATCCAGATACTCCCTTACATTCAGATACTGCCCTGCATCAGATACTCCTGTAATTCAGATATTCCTCTGCATTAGATACTTCTCTATATTCAGGTAGTCCCCGGCATTCATATACTCCCCTGCATGAGATACCCTCCTGCATCAGATATTACCCTGCATTCAGATACTCCCCTGCATTACATACTTCTCTATATTTAGGTACTCCCCTGAATCAGAGGCTTCCTTGCATCCAGATACTCCCCTGAATCAGATACTCCTCCGCAGTTCAGCTACTCCCCTGAATTAGATACTCCTCTGCGTTCAGATACTGCCCTCTTCTTCCATGTGGGTTTTTTGTGGAAATTTGTTAACTGTAATGTCTTTACAAAGTGTCTTAACTGCTTTGGTGTGAAAGCTTGCTTTACCTTTGGGGTAAAACTGCTTTGTGGCTCAGGAGCTCCTGCTACGTTTCCTAACAACTTGAAATGAACCAAAAGCATACTCTTCCTCCTTGACAAAAATGGCTTTGTTTAATTATTTCTGAGCTTTTGTATGAAGAAGTCTTAGTGTCACGGTTTTGAAATCAGGATTAGAAAATTTATGTAGGGGGATGCCAGGGTGGCTCAGTCATTAAGCATCTGCCTTAGGCTCAGGTCATGGTCCCGGGGTCCTGGGATCGAGTCCCGCATCAGGCTCCCTGCTCCCTCTGCCTGCCGCTCTCCCGCTTGTGCTCTCTCTCTTTCTCTCTCCGACAAACAAATAAATAAATACAATCTTTTTAAAAAGTCCTGGGATCGAGCCCTGCATCGGGCTCCCTGCTCTGCAGGAAGCCTGCTTCTCCCTCTCCCCTTCCCCCTGCTTGTGTTCCCTCTCTCGCTGTGTCTCTCTCTGTCAAATAAATAAATAAAATCTTTAAAAAAAAAAACTTTATGTAGGCTAGCGGGAGACAGTAACACAGTTAGAGAGTTTAAACCTGGGTCATAATGTATTTAGCCAAACAACATGAGCTGATATTGTACATTTGTCCGAGTGTGTGTGTACATTTATTGTCTGAAGTCAGCTTTGTTAGGATGTGTGTGTGTGTGTGTGTGTGTGTGTGTGTGTGATTGTTGATGGGCACTGCCTAATCGTTCTCCACGAAAGCTGTGCAAATTTATGGTGTTCCCAGTGATGTCTCAGCTGTCCTCAAATAGCCCTGCAAACGTTATGGGCCTTGCCAGCCTGTTGAAAACATGGTATCGAATCAACGGTTTTACATTACGTTTCTCTCAACACAGGTGGGATTGGGAATGTGTGTGTGGAAAATCCATGTTCACTCCATTCTGAATACGCCCTTTGCCCATTTTTACATGCGTCATTGTTCCTGCTGTTATTGATCTGTGGGAACTCTTTACATATTAAAGGCACTGCCTTTTTTTTTTGACTCTGAAATAGGTAGCCAATAAGCTTTTTCACTTTATTTTTAGCCTTTTAACTGAGAGATGTTTTCTCCATTCATTTTTATCATTTTTATGTAGTGAAATTACTTAATGGTTTCTGGGCATGCTGTTATACTTAGAAAGACATCAACCTTACTAACATTTTTTTCTTTTAAACATCAGGGGGCAAACGGGTGGCTCAGTCGGTGGAGCATGAGATTCTTGATCTCACAGTTGTGAGTTCAAGCCCCATGTTTGGTGTAGAGATTTACTTAAAAATAAAATCTCTAAAACCGCCCCCAAAACCTCATATTCTGTTCCAACACTTTTATGGTTTGTTTTTTTTTACATTAAAATACTTGATTCCCTAGAGATGCATATTTGTATAGGGATGAGGAAGAGATTCTGCTATGCAATTCCTACCCTCTGCATAGGGTATCATGCTATTATTCCCAAACCATGTCCCGAATATTCCATATATATGTGTAATCATGTAATACCCTTCTTTATGTCTTAAAAAAAAAAGAGAGAGAGAATATCCCTCTTTAGAGCTTTCATCTGGAGTGGGTATTAAATTAAGTGCTTTTTCAGGATCTGTGGGGATGATCATAGGGTTTTCCGGTTTATTCTATGAATATGATGAATTCAATACGATTACATGCATGTTCATACTTATCTGATGTAGAACCATCCTCTTGTCCTTGACTTGGGTCTTATTTGATGGCGGGCTTGTCGTTTGGTTTAGGGTTATTGCGTCCATATTCAAGAGTGACCTCACTATGTGTTCTTTGTTTGCATGATTTCTGTAGATTCTGATAGACTTTCTTCTTTTCATCCTGAGAAACTGGTTTGGCTGGAGCTACCTGGGCCTGGTGTGTATGTGTGTGTAGAGGGGATAAGTGATTTCGGTCTTTTATTTCTCTCTTAGGGAAACAGAGATTTAAAATTTAAAAAAAAGCTTTATTTCCACTTCTTCATTTGAAAATCATCCACGTTTCCAGAGTTTTCAAAATGTCACCATGTAGATTTGAACACAGATTTTCCTTCTAATTGTTCACTGTTCTCCGGGTCTGTGGGGAACTCTATGTCCTTGTGATTTTATATTGTTATTATGTTTCCGGTTTCGGTTCTCAACTAATGGTTGGATGATAAGCTTCGCCATTTCTGCGCTTTTCATTCGTGATCCCAGTCGTTGGCGTTCTTTGGGTTTATCTGCCCTCCACGCAGACGCGCCTTGAGTCGAACGCTAATTTCCATGCTTTCTCATCCTTTCTTGTGGAATATTGTAAATATTCCAGGCTCTGGCTTTTCCTCTGAGCTCAAGGGTAGACACGGATCATTCCTATTTCTATTTTCTGGAGAGTCACCATTTCCCGATTTTTTTTCTTTCTTGTTAATTCAATGGTTTTAAAAGGTTTTTTTTGTTTGATTGTTTCATTTTGTTTTTTAATATCCACGTGATATTTCCGTGTTTTCTGCTTTCTTGGATGTGGTCACCAGTCTCCTGGTTTTATTGCCGTGTGCAACCAGCATGTTGCCTATATCATTTCTGCCTTTTCTTTTCCCCCTCCAGTGGATCGAAGCTTTTCTTTCTGAGGAAGTTCCCTGAACGTGGAGACACACGTGGATTCTCAGTGTTGAAGGTGTAGAGGACGCGAACGTGAAATCCGCCTTATCAGCTGTCTCTTCAGGCATCTATGTGTGTTCTGCATGAGCTGTTTAGGCTGAGACAGGGGTGGGTAGCCACGAGTGCCTGACGAGGGGATCGGCATGCATCGTTCTGCGGCTCCGGGGATGCCCATGTATGGGCAGACATGACTTGTGCACACACCCCGGTTTAGGTCAAGCCGGCTTCCCCGGGGGCTGGCTCCTCCTTTCCTGTTCTGCCCGTCCCCTTCTGTTCTCAGACCCACCGTCCCGGGCACATGGTGGTTTGCAGGGGTAGCAAATGCATCAGCTTCCTCCCTCTCTGCTCCCGGGAGCCAACTTGGCATCCCTGCCCTGCATCTTGCATGCTTACCTGCAGGCGGGAGGAACGTGGTCTGAGGTCTCACTCTGGAGGTTGGCGTCCCCTTAGGCAGTTCTGGGCTCCTCTACCTCCCTGTGATTTCTTTGCTGGCTGCCCGCATGTCCCTGAGACCTGCAGCCCTTTGCTTTCTTATTGTTAACCTGGGGCGATTGGAACAGGTGTTTTATATTCTGTGCACTTTTTTGTCCTTATACCCAACTCTATGGGGTCGAGGGAGGCTCTGGACACCCCTTCATCCACGTGGGAGCTCCCCCACCTCAGCAGGTTTGGATGGGGTTTGTTCGGCCCCTTCGTCTGCTGCAAAAGGCCAACGTCGTAAGCAAAAACACTCACGTCTGTCTTGCATGTAGCATGCTCGTGATATTGCAGCACCAGCCGCCTCCGTCTGGTTCCAAGATATTTTTGTCACCCCCCCAAAGGAAACTGTCATGTACTGGTTTCCTGGGGCGGCCATAACCGAGCACCACCGATGGGGAGGAGGGGTGCTTAAACCACAGAAGTGTGTTGCCTCCTGGTTCTGGAGACCAGACGTCCGAGACCAAGGTGTGGACAGCCCTGGTCCCTGCTGGAGCCTCCGAGGGACAGTCTGCTCCATGTCTGTGTCCCAGCTCCCGGGAGCTGCTGGAGGTCCTGGGCGTCCCTTGGCTGGTCCCACCTCTGCCTCCACGTGTCCATCTTTGTCCAAACGTCCCCCCCTTTTTTTTTTTTAAAGATTTTATTTATTTATTTGAGACAGAGAGAATGAGAGAGAGAGAGCACATGAGAGGGGGGAGGGTCAGAGGCAGAAGCAGGCTCCCTGCCGAGCAGGGAGCCCGATGCGGGACTCGATCCCGGGACTCCAGGATCATGACCTGAGCCGAAGGCAGTCGCTTAACCAACTGAGCCACCCAGGCGCCCTCCAAACGTCCCCCTTTTTATAGGAACAGCTCGCATAGGGTCATGTCCCGCCTGACTCCAGGGTGACCCCATCCTAACCAATTGCATCTACACCCACCCGACATCCAGCAAAGGTCGTATTCTACAGGATTACCAGTGACGACTCCAACGTATGATTTTTGGGGGAGGGGTTGGGGGCCACAGTTCAACTGCATAGCCAGGAAACGACCCATCTGCTTTCTGTCTCTGGATTTGCCTGTTCTGGACAGTTGGGGGACATGGACTCACACACGATGTGGCCCTTGGTGTCTGTTTTCTGTCACCGAATGTAAAATTTTGAAAGTTTATCCACATTGTGGTGTGCGTGTGTGTGTGAGACGTCTGTTCCTTTTCGTGGTCGGGGAAATGGGGAGAAAACGTCTGTCCGAGCGCGTCATCCACCGCTCTTGACTGTCCCACGGGGAGTTTGGGATTGGACATGCAGGTTTCCTTAAAGCATCACACACAGGCCCACACCCTCCTGTGTGCACCTCAACCTGGTCTGCATCACCAGCATCGCTTTGTAATGATGCTCCGTGTAAAGAACGAAAACCAGAACACCAGACACTCGAGACACATGCACACGTTTCCAGGTGCCGGAAAAAAAAAATGCAGAAAACGTCAGGATTCATTTCCCCCTTTTAATCTGTTTAGCCTAAATCCAGCTTTTTTTGGGGGGGGGGAGAGGGGGAGTGGTTTACAAACAGATTTCACCACCACCATTTATTAGTATTTTTTTCTTTCTTGTACACTAAGCCCATTGATCAGACGGGTTCAAAGCCTTTTGGAAATGGTGGGTTTGTATTCTTTCCTGGCACGTTGAGGGAGGCAGCCAGCAAGGGTGAGTCAATGTGTGTAGATGGATAAGGGAGGTGTAATCACAGAGCCTTACAGAGAAAATAGGGAAAAAAATCCCTGGATTGGCCACCGGCTGTATTTCTTCTGCAGACAGATCCCCAAACAGGAGATGTAAAGAATTTGGCGCTTCTGTAAAATGCCTGTGAAATCAACGATATGTCTTTATCCATATACTTTTTTTTTTTTGTCTTTTGTGAGGAAAGAGGTAAAAAAAAAAAAAAAGAAACAAAAGGGCAAATTTCGCAAAGTCAGATGGAGCTTAAAAGCTCCAGCCCTTGGTTTCCATCCTGGATGG